ATTTTTTTTTTTTTTTTTTTTTTTTTTTTTTTTTTTTTGTCTCTATTGTTGTTTGCGACTGTCCTTGGGTATAGTTGTGCACTCTTTGTGTATCGATGTATATCCAGCCCCATTAGGTAAATTCTTCTGTCTCCTTAGTTAGATAAGAAGGAGACAGTTATAATTTGTCTCCTACATATATAATATAATTATACTCAACATATTATTTGTTTATTTTTTGTGTATAATCAATGTAGAAGGAAGTACGTACACTTAGCATTAGTGCTGCATGCACTGCTGTCCTGCTGTGTATATAACAGTTGCTGCTGTGTTATATTATATTATATTAATAATTATAATTATTATAATAATTATTATTTATTTATTTATTGTCTATGTCTCCTCTTGTTTGCTGTCTCCTTATGTGTCGATATACAAGACACCTTCTTATGTGTGCACGTATAATCGTTCTTACTATATAATTATATAATTTTATTGCTTTTTCTCTCCTTATTACTCCTATTATATATATTATTATACTATCTCCTACCCAAGGAAGAATTATGCATAAAAAGCACAAGACAGTGCCGACAGACACAGGTAAGTATATATATATAATTATGTCTTGTAGGGTGTCTTCTTATATAATTGTTGTTTTTTTTTTATATTTTTTCTTAATTATTATTCTTTTTCCTTCCTTACATGTCTTATTATATTATATTATTATATAATTAATGATTTAATTATTATATTTATTATTATTTTTATTCTTGTTATTTTTTGTCTTATTTTCTTCTCTTATACTGCAGCAGCAGCAACAATATATACGCAGCAGCAACTAACTAGCAACTTATTAATAATATATTTTTGTATAATGTCCTTCCTTCAGTGTCTTTATTTAATTTAATACATAAAATACCATGAGACAGTGCGAAGAAGCGGCGGCAGCAGCAGCGTTCTGCTGCTGCTGCTGCTGCTGCTGCTGCTGCTCCCGTTGCTGCCCCCCTCGCCCCCCAATGTCCCAACCCCACACACAAGAAGACGGGCAAGAAGGCACATAATGGTTATATAAGTATAATAATAAATAAAATAAATAAATAAATAAATTAATTAATAAATAAATAAAATAAGAAGAAAATAAATAAATAAATAAGAAGGATAAATGGTGCAGCAGCAGCAGCAGCAACAGAAACAGCAACAGCAGCAACAGAAGTACGGCTATGTATTTCTTGCACGGACAGCACCGAGCAACAAGAGGTTCTTCTTCTTGTCTTCTTATATAAATAATTGTATAAATATAAATAAATAAATATAATTAATTAAATAAAATAATAAATTAATTAATTAAATATAATTTATTAAGAAAAAAGAAGAAAAAAAAAAGAAAAAAAAACAAAGAAGGACCCCCCTCTCTCCCGCTCACGACACCGATAGATAGGGTGGTGCTGCTGCTGCTGCAGCAGCAGCAGCAGCAGCAGCAGCAACAGCAACAGGAACAGCAACAGAGCGGCGTAGTTGCTGCTGCTGCTGTTTTGTTGCTGCTTTTTGTCTTTTTATTCCTTATTATTATACAAAAAAAAAAAAGGAATAAAATAAACCTTATTTAGGGATATTTATTCTTTTTTTTCTTTTTTTTTTTTTCTTTTTTTTTTCTTCTTTTTTTTTTTTCTTCTTTTTTTCCTCCTCCTTTCTTCCCTTATTTATATATATATAATAAATAATCGAGACAGTTGTTGTATTATATATATATATATTTATTTATTTATTTATTTCTTTTTTCTTTCTTTATTCTTATTTATATTTATTTATTATATTATTAATTAAATGTATTAATATATACTTGTCTTTTTTTTTTTTTTTTTTTTTTTTTTTTTTTTTTTTTTT